AACACACTTTTTGAGCTCGAAATATAAACGAGCCGAACACTGGGCTCACTCGTGTTTGGCTCGTTTACACCCCTCCGCCGCCAAAACAATTACATATGCCTTATATGGGCTATTTTCAAACATGCGATGTTAAAGTTCACATAGTCAAGTGGTGCCTCACTTTTCATTGGTCACCTCTCCTTGTTCCACCTACATTTGCTCTCTCCCACCTAAAATAAAGGAAACCAATAGCCTTCTATGTTAGTTACCAAAAGCGCTCTTAGTCATTCCCTCTTGGATGCTAAACAACATTTATTCTTATCACATTTGCTGTCTTAAGCTATCTTTTGATGGCCTTGATGATGTTATTCTTCTAGATGACATCAGCATACCCATAACATCTATCAATTATCGTGTAAAAATTGACTTAAAATCCGTGTTTGAGTTGGACTCAATTTTTTTCTTGGGTCAGATTTGAGTATAAAGTATAGATTTTTAATCATTTCGGCTAGGTTTGGTTGATCCAAATAACTCAAAATCAATCCAAAATGACCTTGTTGCTATTTGAGTTTTGGTTAGGCTTGTTTGAATCATGTTAATTAGAGTAAATAAGCCTTATTTATGCTAATTGAGTCATTTTTATGCAACATGATTGTACCATTCATAGGATAAATAGGTTAAATTGGTCTTGTTCAATTTAGAAGTGTTTTGGTTGAGTTAGGTATGGTCAAAATATTTTGATCCTTATAATTAATGTGTTAGATTCAGATCAAGTATTTTATGTCTTGGTCAAATTTTGGTTATACTCAAACCCAACCTGCCAACCCAAAATATCATCTTTTCTGTATATAGCTTGAAAGTGGAATGTTTTTTTTTTATATATCAGTTTTGTTATTCTAATAATGTATTTCTCGAATTCCGACCCATTGTTTTCCATTTGAAGGATTTATGTTGTAGGACAAACTAAAGAATGATGTCTATGAATGGTCCATCTTTTTTGCTCCAATCTCCTATTTATTGTTTTTTCTAGCATCAAAATCGCTTTTGCTGTTAGGCATTGTAGATTAGGCAATTCATTGAACTAAATTGTAAACCATATTAGCTCCCACTTCAATTTAGATTTATCATCCACAGTCACTGCTATCGTGAACACTCAATTGCCATACATGTTAATATAAATAAATTTAATAAAATTTTATTTTCTTCCTCTAGTGTTATATCTTACTTGTTTTGAAATACTGTTATCAGATTGCATGATTCTATCACTATATCGAACATATATGATACTTTCCTGAAAAGCAAAAAATTCAAATGTTCATGATGTCTTCATTAGCTTCACAATTTTAACATAAAAATTTTCGATCCTAAAAAGAGACTCAATGCTCCTACTATGATGGCAAGTATGAAGTACTTAATAGCTTCCTATCTACAAATAGCATCTCATATTTCACTCGTCTACAACACATCTACACCCATGTGAACCGACTGGATTCCCTGAAAGATTTCATCGAGATATTATCAAAATTTTCTCTTCTTTTTCATTTTTCTATTCCATATTCTTATTGGAGTCATGCTTTCATGACGGTCTTCCTCAATAAAATGCCACCCCTACACATGTTTTCTCCATATGAACAATTGTTTTGCTCACATCTCAACTATTTCAAATCTGTTTTGTTGGGTTGACTCTGCTACTTATGGATTTATTTGTACACCACAAACAAACATGAATAATGCTCCAAATCTCATGTCTTTCTCAACTACTACCTCATTCAAAGTGCCAATTTTACCTTGATGTCACTAATTTCAAAATTTATCTCATGTTATACATAAATTATTAATTATCTTTTCTCTTACAACCCTTTACTCATCTCTTGCACATACGAAGAAACAATCTCCTCATGGTGTTTTATCAACAGATCCCTCTTTCTTCCTCTAGGTTCCCTTCATGCACTCCATCCATAATATCCCACCTATAAGGCCATCATATTCAACCTCCACACTAAAGGAAAATCACACAAAACCCTCACTTCTCCCATAAGCTCTCTACAAATCCGACACCTTCTACAACACGTAGCGAAACCCCCTCCCATCCTAATAATACTCATCCAATGAACACACAAGCCAAAAATAACCTTCACACCAATTTAAAAACTAACTCTCACAGCTAGATTAAACTGAGCATCTGACTTTATACCCACCACTGTAACCCAAGTACTCAAAGATAACTACTGACATTGAGCCATTTCCAATGAATATGATGTTCTAATTCAAAATGTAGCATCAACATTGTTCTTCTCTACCTCTGTTCAAAAAAACGACATAAATGAATTTTTTTGTCAAGCAAAAATTTGATGGCTCTATTGACATATTAAAATCTCTATTTGTGGCTAAAGGTTTCCGCCAGTGCTCGGGATTTAACTACCATGGCACCTTCAATCTAGTTGTCAATATCACCTCTATATGACTAGTTCTCAAGGTTGTGGTCCCTCTATCAACTTATTATCAGCAATGTACTTCTCTAATGCTTCACCAACACAAATCAACAATGTATCTCTCCAATGCTTCACAGACACAAATCATCCTACATGTGTGGAAGCTCGTTACTATATGACTATTGGTCCCTCTATCAACTTAGTATCAACAATAGTTGTCTAGCTCACCACTATATGGCTAGTTCTCAAGGTTGTGACCCCTTCAACAATGTATTTCTCCAATGCTTCACCAACACAAATCATCCTACATATGTGTGCAAGCTTTGCAAAGCCATTTTTGTTCTCAATGATGTGATTTTGTACCATGAACCATTACATTTTTTTTGTTGCTTTTGGATTAGCAACTCTCCCGGTGATGAGCCTATTCTTTTTTAATGCTAGTGATGCACCCATCTGTCTTATGGTTCAAGGTTGTATTTGGGTTGGCGGTGTGGTGGCGATGCGGTGCCACATCCTTGTTTGACCACTGCATTTTGCCGGTTTTCTCAAAAAGTTACAATTTAAACCTGCATTTTCCCAATACACTTGGCTACTTGTGGTGGCTGCTAGAAAATTGCGTTCTGACTTTTTCAAAAAAGAAAATTTTTGTAATAGCTACCGTAACTTTTTGAATACCGATTTCTTCTTTAGCAGCCTCAAACTGCTGCAACTACCCCAAACAAACACTAAGTTAATTATATGCATATCATAGGTGATTCTAGCATAGCCATGTAATACTATTTAACTCTTTTTGCTCGATGATTCCATATTAAGGATGTTGGGCCACTACACTATATCTTGTTCTGGAAGTTGTTCTACATTTTGTTGGACATCTTTTGTCTCGATGTTGATACGTTCTTAATCTCCTTGTTCACACTAAAATGATGAAAACCCTTCTTATGATTAAAATGCTTGCTACCTTACCAATGCTCATTCTTCACTCTGATCCATTAAGCTCAATGATTCAAGTAATTTCTGTGCTATTATTAGGCCTTTATGATAAGCTAGCAAATGCTCTCAACAAACCACTTATGCGCACATTCTTTTCTAGATTGAGTATCAAGATTAGACTCGCCAATGGGAGCTCCTTGTTGTAGGTGCTTGCCGATGAATAAAGTCATAATTATTGTAATTAATTAGGATTCTATTTTTTTAGTTTCTTATGAACTTATTTAACTTCATATTGGAGTTTCCAACTTACATTTTAAATTTGGAAACCTTTCTTTTATAGTCTTATATAATTCTATGTTTTCAAAATATCTTTTGGAAAGAATGATATTCAAACTTTCTACACTTCTGTTGAACTTGGAATTCCTATTTCATAACTCAATGCCGTTATTGTTTACTTGACCAAGCATTCAACGTTCAGCAAGGATTTGTTTGGTTTCTAGAAATGTGGGCAAAAACTAATTAAAAGGAAGTTTGTAGTTTCAAGCCTTGTTTCATATGCATAATCAAGCCACAAGTTGACTGAATTTTACTTTATTTCTCCTAAAAGTATTCTAAATGTTTCTATAATTGGTTTGTTTTTTGAAAGCATTAAAACCCTTGACCTAGTCTTTAGAAACACGGGCAAATATCACTCTTGCTGTCTATTATGGCTGCTATTATGTGCATTGTATGAATTCTGTGGGCTTTTTTTATAAAATTTTGGTTTTTTTTGTAGGTTCCAGGGGCTCTGTGTCTACTTCAAGAGGCTGGTGAGGCAGAGACAATCCTTGAAGTTGGTGGTATTCTTTTGCGTGAATGGTTACCTAAGCCCTTTAAGCAGGATGTGGTGCTGGCTATGGTCCTTGCATATGTGGACTTGTCGAGGGATGCTATGGCTCTAAATCCACCAGATTTCATGGGTTGTCGTGAGCTTCTTCAGCAAGCATTAAAACTACTGCAGGTAACTCTCAACATATCGCCGAATTCTCTAGGCCATGGATTACATCAATTTTAGTGAATTTATCTGTCAAAACGTCTTATTTGTCATCTTGTGGCTCTTCAGTATATTTAAGTTTTTTTAGACAACGAAGGCTACAATTTTTAAATGTGCGTTTGTATATGTGAAGGATTATCAGCCAAAGCAAAGTAATTTTAACATGTATTTTAATAATTAAAACCATCAAATATATTCAAATCATCATCATAAACCCATTTCTTTAATTGAATGATCTAAATATCATTGGAATTGAAAATCAAAATTATACTTTGGAAGATTGACATATCTACCACTCGATTTCTATGTGTTTACATATCTAACATCTAAACTTCAATTTTTACATTCATAATCCACCCTACCTATGCATGAGATGGTGTATTTCACTTTTTAAACATAAAAAATAGTTGTATTTTTTATGTGATATAAATTATTTTGAGTATTCTATATGTAAATAAGTAAAGCTTAGGTGTTAGATATGTAAACGCATAAGAATTGGGTGGAATTTATGAAACGCCCCTTATCTTTTGTACAGAAAAATAATCCATTTAGTTCAAATTTGTGATTTCTGATTGATTATCAAATGATCGTAAAATTATTTATTTATATATGACGTTAGTTTTATAGTATGCATTGTATGCCAGCTCAAACTTTTTCATCCTTATCAAAATTATGCAATTAAATCCTTATTTGCATTTTTTTACCTATCAAAATCTTCATGGCTACAGGAGGAAGGGGCTAGCAACCTTGCTCGTGACCTGCTGGTACAAATTGATGAGACGTTGGAAGAGATATCTCCTCGTTGTGCTATTGAACTTTTAGCTTTGCCCCTTGATGAAGAACACGTTATAAAAAGACAAGATGGTCTGCATAGTGTACGCAGTATATTGTGGACGGTTGGTAAAGGAGGTGCTGCAGTAATAGGAGGAGGATTCACACGCGAAGATTTCATGAATGAAGCATTTGTACATATGACGGCTTCGGAACAGGTTTGTGAGAACTATTACTTGAGTAGTCATTGTATGCTTTGTGATAAGGGGTTGATTGTCATGATTTTTTTTTTTGAGGGGCATTTACATACCACCTAATTCCTATGTATGTACATATCTAACACCTATTCTTTACTTTTTACATTTATACCATCAAAATCCTTCATATTACATCAAAAATTCCTTCATTTTAACTTTTTTCATTCATAGGTAAAGTGGCATATGTGTAAAAAATTGAATTTTAGGTTTTAGATATTTAAATACATAGGAATTGAGTGGTATGCATGTAAATCTTCCTTTTTTTTATTGGTGTAAAGATAGATTTGTTTGCTGCGACACCAAGTGATATACCAGCAGAGAGCTTTGAAGTGTACAATGTGGCCTTAGCTTTAGTAGCACATGCCATTGTGGGCAAAAAGGCCCATCTTATTAAAGATGCTGGCAATTTATTTCAACAACTCCAGCAGTCCAAAGTTACCTCCTTAGGTTCTAATAGTGAATACACCATGAAAGCAGACCGAGATGTAGACTTTGCCCTGGAAAGGGGTCTCTGCTCACTGCTTTTGGGAGAACTTGATGAGTGCTACTCATGGTTGGGCATTGACGATACGAGTTCGCCTTATAGGAATCAGGATATCGTAGATTTCATCATGAGCAATTTGAATGTTGGCAAAGATCATGATTTTCTTCCTGGACTTTGCAAATTGTTGGAGACATGGCTTATTGAGGTTGTTTTTTCAAGATTTAGAGATACTCAAGGTGTACAGTTTAGGCTCAGGGATTACTATGATGACCCCACTGTGCTGCGATATTTAGAAAAGATGGAAGGAGGCGGGGCTTCACCTTTAGCAGCTGCTGCTTCCATTGTAAAAATTGGCGCCGAAGCTACAGCTGTATTTGGTAATGTAAAATCAAATGTAGTTGATGCATTACAGAAAGTGTTTCCATTGACTAAGAGGGAAGGAAGAAATAGCATTGAGGTTTCCGCTGGTGTACATAATTCTAAGTTTGAAGTAGGAATTGAAGAGCCCGGAATTAGTATCTATCAATATGTTAAAGAAAATAAGAATGAGGCTTATGAGAAACCCAATTCTGAATCTTCCAATGAGCAAGATTATACGTACATGATAAAGGAAGCAAGCATTAAGATTATGTGTGCTGGAATAGCAGTTGGCATACTGACAGTTGCTGCTCTTAGATATTTACCAAGGAGAAATTTGTCGCCTGGTTCAATAAAAGAAGTTGGATCAGAAATGGCGGCAAATGCAGTTCTTTCTGGTAATTATTAAATATTCTGAAACTTTTTTTTCATATATTTGTTTGGCAAATGGTAAATTGGTAAATAGTTTTCCATTGGAAAATTTTCAATCATATGTTGTGAGTTTTCTTTGCAAAATTTTCCTTCGTAATGTGGTGTCAAAGAGAAGTGTCAAAATAGTCCACTCTTTGCTGCGGGTCATATTAGTCTTAGAGTCTATTCAAGTGCCACTTTAGTCCCGGTGTCTTTTAATATGGGTTATTTAAGCCCCAATTTAAAGAATCTGATGACTAATTTGCACTTCTACATACTTTGAGAGGGTGCTATTTTGACACTTCACTCTGTTAGATGTATTATGGGTTGATTAGTTTGCCATTTGGAAAGTAGACGTGGCTTTAAATTTTTTTAACGATTGTGCAATTCTATGGATATGGTCCTTGATAACATGTGTCTTTATCAATTGCTTGCTAATGTCGAGCTCTTTTCTTCAAAAGCATTGTGGACTTGTTATTTACTTTGAAACAATTTTTATAAATCCTGTCACCATGCTCGAATATTTTATTTGTGCATATTCTTTCCCGTTTCCTGATATTATCCTCCTTTGGCTTTGCCAATCTGTGTACTAGTTCCCCCTTTCAACTACCAACATTGTAGGCCAGCCTTTATACCATCTCTAGCTCATATATTAGGAAATACATGCCTGTTGTTGTATTTTAATTACCTTTGCTTTCTAAGTGATATCTATAAACATGCAGGAGCTTCTTTCAAGTTTCAACCATCGGTTATGCTACATTATGAATCATTTAGATTAGCAACAATTTGCACCCTTTTTTTTATTAGATTTGTTTCGCTCTTAAAATTGTTTCAATGCTTTAGTGAATTTTTTGGTTTTTTTTTGTTTTTTTTTTGTTTTCTGGAGGTGAAGATAAATGATTATATGTTAAAATAATATTAATTTACATTTTTATGTTTGTTTCTTTGTAACTTTGAATATTGTGTTTAGTTGCTACTGCAATTCAGAATGTTGAAAAGGAGTTACCCAAAATGGATGCAAGATATGCTGAAACCCTACTCCGCAAGTGGCAAAATGTCAAATCTCAAGCCTTGGGTCCTCATCACCGTGTTGGGAAACTCCCAGAGGTTAGGCATCCATTTACTTAGCTGAACGTTTGGTTTACTGTACTACCACCACCTAAGAATTTAGTTAGAAGATTGCTTATTTTCTGTTAGGATTTTTTGTGCCCAAATAATATCCTCATAAATGGTCTAACCTTAGTAAGAAGTGCTTGAATCGTTGGATGCCCATCAATAAGGACCAAATCTCTCTCCTTTTGTTAATTTCAAGGGCCTGCCTGGTGAATTTTTAAACAAAGGAGACTATATTTCCTTTTTCATATAAATAAGGAACATTTGCAACATACTTTTTAATGTACTGATAAGTAGGGATGTAAACGAGACCAGCTTGAGCTAGCCCAAGGCTTGTTGGTGTTTGGCTCGTTCGATTTTTTGTTTCTTGTTGGTGTTCAGCTCGTGTTTCGAAATGATTTGTGAATAGCATGTTTGTGTTCGGCTTGATTCAAGCCTGAATGTTTGAACTAAGCTTGTGTTTGGCTTAAACTGGAGCTTAACAGCTAGAACTCCAACGTCGGCCACATGGTGATGGTGTTTAAAAGAGAGAGTTCTTTACATTTAAGCACCTTCTAAGGCTGCAAGGAAACCTCTCCCACAGATATGAGACTAAAAATTAGAAGAAAAATGGACAGTGGCCTTTTTTTTGGGGGGCATTTACTTACATTCCAGCCTATTCTTATGTATTTACATATCTAACACCTAAACAAATACGAGGGAGAGTGGGACTCTGAGATGAGATTGTGCTCATCTTTGCTCTTTTTTATTTTTATTTTTGTGCATTTACATACCTACCAACCAATTCCTATGTATTTACCTAAGCTTTACTTTTTACTTTTATACCACTCAAGTCTCTTATATGTATTTTTTTAAATACATTATAAAAAATTAATATAAAAAGATATAAATAAATTTTATTATTTAACTATTTCGAGTTAAAATGAGTCGAACACGTGTGTGGTTTGTTCATAAATCGAGCTCAAAAAAATTTCCGTGTCCATCTTGCTTGCTTAATGAAGGAGCTGAACTCAAGCTACTTGTCAAGCCGAACACGACTTTTTCGTGAACTATAAGCTTTTTTGATAGCTCCACTGACAAGTACATTGATCAAAATTGATGAAAAATTGTATTTAGCTGCTCTGAATTTATGTTATGCTTCTCTTTTCTAAGCAATTGCAAGGATAATGGAATTGTGAATTACACACGCTGGGACTGGACTTTCATAGATAAGTTCTACTTAATGGTTATGGCTATCAACTTGTTAAACATGTCTGGTTAATATCTAACCCAAAATTGACTAAGCATGAAATTACAAACCTACAATTTGATTTATTTTTTGCGTTGGGAACCTTGACTTCAACCCAACTTAGTTAATGCGGCACTTCTAACTCAAAGAAGAAAGTGTGAGCTAAGTGAGATTCAAATATCTTGCATGTTCATTGATTCAATTTGAGACTGGTAGTATGGCATAATATTGGCATGCATTGCATTGGATGTCTGCATTTCTTTAGCCAATAGTACATCATTGGATGTGACTTGTAGGAGTTTCCCTTCTTTCATCATGAAGAAAGCTGAAGGGAGTATTACACAACTAAAGAGAATTTGTAGAGAGCAGATTGCGTAATATATCTCATGAGGAAGTGGGATTGGGAATTTTGGGGTATATCATGGGTTATTGGACAACTCTAACCTCGTTAAATTAAGGCTGAATTTTGATTTTGTGGTCAGTCTAAATTCCACTTTTAGCTATTAGAGCCAACAGATATTGAAGACTAGAAGTGCCATTGGTTATTAGAGTTAACCCAAGCTTTTACTGTTGTTATCAGTTTTGGTGTGGATGTACGGACGCATTCGAAGTTGTCATTCTGTCAATGATGGTTCATATAAGGTTTATTTGAAATCTTTTTTTTTTTTTTTGTTTTCTTAGAGATATTGAATGAATGCTAACTGTATATTTTCCTATAACCATGTGTTTCTTCTTTAACGAAACAAATGACTATTTTCTTTTAATTTAAGAAATAGACTTAGAAATGTTTGTACATTCTTTGAAGATAGAGTTTTAGTAAATCAGCTTATATAAATTTGGAAGAATATAGTTACTTCATGATGGGAGTAGATAGTCATTTGCTACTTATTAATATAAATTATAATTAGAGATAAATTAAGCGGGACTTCGGGCGTGGGAGGCGGCAGATGGCCGTCTTTTTAGGTTAGCCAAATTTATTGTATAAATAAATTAATTTTATTAAAATAAAATAAAAAGCATATAATTCAAAATAAATTTATTACATCCCATTATCATCGATGAAGTTAATAATGATTACAAAGTTCCTCAATCTATTTTGTATTGTTTGACATATATAACAATTTCATTGAGATTCAAGCCAAATACTTTTTTCTCAGTATCAGTTATAAAGAAGCCAGTGGCTAGTTATCTCATATTCAATTATGCAATCGATGTTTGATAATGTTTATTGTATAAAATGTTCTCTCAACTGTAGTAATAACTACTGATAAAGTTGATTTCAAGTTAATAAATTTATAAACTAGGAGACATGTCATCCATTTTTATCTTAAACAAGTTATCTTGCAAGATAGCATTGTCGTTTAAAGAAGAGAAATCATGATTGATGTATGCATCGATAATATGTGGATAGCTTAGGAGATTTACTATGATATTACTCTGTAAGGAGTAGTAGTTTCCCTTTATAAGAAATAAATAATAAATCACTTAGGTTTATGCATGTCACATAAAGAAATAACTTAGTACTTGTTTCGGAGAATAATTATCCATCTTTGAATTTGCTATCAACTACAATACAAAACAATTCGACATGATAAAGATACAAAGTTGCTATTTCTTCACCTCCTTGTATTAACTGTCAATAAGTCTTTGAAGGTGGAGTTTGTATCTAAAACATTAATTTCAAAATATTGCAAAAATGTGACATTTTATTCAATAAAGAATTACATCTATTCTTCTTCATTATTTATTATTTGGGCATTAGATTGCTTTAATTTTGAACATTGATTAAAATATTATCAAATATGAGTATAAATTGAATGCATTTATATTATAACGGCTTGTAATAATGAAACTATAATTGGTAATGATCCAAAAAACATAGAAACCATACTACTATATTATTATTATTATCATTATTAGTGGTAGTAGTATTAGTAGGTGAGCTCAGCTATTCTTATTATCTACTTTGATTTTTTTTTTTTTAAGTAGAAATACAAAGGGGCATTCACATTCATACCACAGTTCTTATGTATTTTAATATCTAACACCTGAATATTCTTATTTAGAAGCATACCATTTAAATCTTTAACATCATTTTAAAAACACCGCCATCGCATTCTCTTAAAAATGAAATATATCTTTTTTATGCATAGGTTTATGGCACCAAGATTTTATGAGTGTAAATATCAAACTTTGGGTTAGATATGTAAATGCATAAGAATTTTGTGCTATGTATAAATTTCAACTTATGATTAGGTTCTAGAAGACCGAATGCTGGAGATATGGAAGGACCGTGCTGCTGAAGTTGCCCGAAAAGGCTGGTTTTGGGAGTACACTCTACAGGACCTGACCATCGATAGTGTTACTATTTCATTGGATGGTCGTCGAGCCGTTGTCGAAGCTACGATCAACGAAGCAGCGAGATTGATAGATGCTGCTCGGTCCGAGCACAAAGACTCGTACAACACAACCTATACGACTCGGTACGAGCTGGTTTGCTTCGAATCGGGCTGGAAGATAACTGAAGGAGCAGTTCTCAAACCATAGATTACATCTGTGAGTTTAACAGATTTTTCTCCATTTTTGGGCATTTTAGAATTATTGTTCTTTCATGACCGTTAGTGCTGGTCATTTAATGATAGTACTTGTGTTTATTAGGCTGTTTACAGTAGTGTGGTTCTATTTATTTTCTTTTGTTTTGATATTTGATGTATTTTCTATTTGAAGATAACTGGAGCAGCAGTTCTTGAACCTTTAGATTGCATCTGTAGAGAAGTCTGATTACATACATTCCACCCAATTCCTATCTATTTACCTATCTGACACCTAAATTTTATAAGAAAAAAGCGATTTGTGCAAAAACTTGATTTTTATTGGAACAAAAGCCTCATTGAAAAAATTTCATGATTTTTTCTCTATTTGAAGTATCAGTTGTACATGATCTTCTAAGATCTTGGCTATTCAAATATGTCTCTCTTGGCAATGAAAGTTAACTTTTAATGAGTTCAAAATGGCATTGGATTTGATCCATTAAGATATACGGAAAATAATAGAAGAGAGAGAGAGAGAGAGAGAGGTTAATGAAAAGTAAAAGAATAAAGGGACATACCCCCCAATTTCTGTGTTTGTCTAACATCTAAGGGTCTGTTTGGGGCAGCTGCAGCTTATTGAATAATCTGTTGACAAGCTAGGTGCGGTGACTATTACAAATTTTTATTTTTTTGAAAAAGTCAAACCATTGCCAATAAATCAAAACCAACTTTCAAATCAAAGCTTAATATTTTTCAACAATATTACAATGCCAATCTAGGATACACCTTCTACCTAAAGTTGGTTAACCCTTTTCCAGAGCCTCTTCATGACACATCATCATTGGACTGTAAATCTCAGTCATTTTGGATTCCAAGTACAATTCTTTTCAAACCTCTAGTCTATACATTTGAAGTCCCGAAACTTCAATCTTGAAGACATCAATCTTGTGATCTTATTAAATATAAGCTAATATTTTGATAGAGAGTATTCTTGAGAACCTTAACTCATAGGATGTAATTAACTATTAGGGCTTTCATTTGTAGGGATACTACAACCCAGAATAAAATAAACCATATTTTACACCTATAAGCTAGGGAAAAAGTTTTAGTTACATAGACTTATAAATTTAAGATTTTCCTCATTATGATGATTAGATTCATTTTAAGGTAATATTTATATATTTTGGGGTAGGATGTTATTTTTCAAATAACGAATCAGATCATTTAGATATAAATCTTTCAAAATATGTGATGGACACCACAACTAACCATCTAAATTTTTATTCCACCAGCAAATACAACAAAGTTAATTATTAATTGCTTACTAACTGAATGTTTGAAATTTTTATAGAGACAATGACAACCCAATCTTAAATTAAATTTAATAGTTCTTCAAGTTAGCCTCTTATTTTTGCTTATGAAGCAACAACTCAAAATGAAAGTGTAAGTGAAATTACTTCAACTAAAAAGAAAAAAAAATGGTAAAATGCATAGATCAGATGTTTCACAACATTTTCTTGAAATATTAATCATAAAAAAGGAGAAACATATTATGAAATGAAAATGCAATTGTAGTGTCAAGTGTTATGTGAAATAGAAAAGTGATACTTCTTAAATGGTTAGACATTTCAGAACAAATCACTACATTAAAATAGATGGTAGAGATAAAAAATAAAAAGCCTTTGACCCAATAACTGAAGATATTGAAGAACTGAGCATATTTCTGTTTTATGTGTCTCATATATGTGATCATAATGGAATAAAAAATATTATGGCTACGATGATCATTGCTCACGAATATATCTTCATGACAATCAATCATTTTAATGCAATCGATGAATTCAAACTATCAAAAAAATTAGCATTTATTTTAAAAACAGTGTGCAAAAAAGTTTATGAAGTTGAGAAAGACCAATTGAAATAAATTTGAAATTATTTGAAAGAGTTTTACATTCTAGTAATTGTTGTTTACTAGAAGGTCTAGCTTTTTCATTATGAGAGATTTTTTTTCATGTTTGTTGTGGTACTCATATTTTAAATTTAATGATGCAAGAGGGTTTGAAAGAAATAGGTAAGGTAATTGAAAATGTTAGAGAGACAATTTTATTTATCAAAGATCAGCTAGTCGCTTACATAAATTTGGCGAGATTGCAAGGCATGGTGAGTTATCTACAACAAATTCATTTTGCATTGATGTGCTAACACATTAGAATTATACATACAAAATGTTAGGTTTCGCATTTCATTATAAAGTTATTTTTTTGAATATGTTTTGTGGGATCTTAATTATGTTTGGTTGTCATCAAAGAATGATTGTGATCAATTTGATAAAATAAGAGAATTGTTTCATATTTTTCATCAAATAATTGAAAATTTCTCGAACTCAAGTTGTCCAACAATAAATATGCTTCTTCCTAATTTGATACTCATATAGAAAAATTTTGATAGAGAATGCTAAAAAATTGTGAGGTTAAAGTTTGATGCTATGAATTCTACTGGAATGAGCTTTGAGTAGTTTGCTAACCCATTTGTCTCTCACAGATGATGTTGACACACGAGGGGTCTTACACAAATTTCTCTGATAATAATCATTGATGAGACCAACTGTTGTTGTCAGAATCATTGCTCTCTATAATATTTCTATAATTTCATCTTCATTTGGTAGGTCCATTTATTTGCAAGATGCATGTTAGGATTTAACAATAAGAATAAGTATGATAGGAGTGCAGGTAACTATTAAAATTACTGAAAATGAAAGTACTATATATACTCATAACATTTATACTGAAGTCCCACACAAAAAATCCACAATCCAAAGTTCATCATAGAAGTGTGAATTATTACAAACTGAAAATCCCAAATAATAGTAACAATAAAAAGAAAATAACAACAAAGTCTACATCTCTAAAAACTATCAAAGGGAAGGAATCCTTCATTCCAGAACCTAGCGAAAAAAAATTCTCGCTTAATATGGTCCTCTAGAAGTTTTACAACAAATAAATAGAGGAGCATGTCATCAAAAATCTTTTGAATAGAGTATAACAACTTCATAACATCTATCAAGTCGAATATCCATGCAACATTGTGTGGGTACTATATGTGAAGCTGATGCAATTAGTTATCACTATGAGATATGCATAGATAAGTGTGTCGCCACCGTCTTTAAAATTTTTCCCTTTTGGGTAGAGGGTCTAAGACGCTTAGACTGACTGCACTCACCTTATTCTCGATCCTCATGTTGTTCCTGTTGAACCTTATTTGAATGAGCACATTCGAGCTCATTGAAATTCTACATGGGGTCCTTTATTGTAGCCCACACATTAATGCTTGTGGTCATAATTCCGAGGCACATAGTATCAAGCTTGTACTCTAGTTCTAGGTCAATGTCAGCAAGTCTAAATTTCCTTGCATTGGACAATACCTACAATTGATGTAATTTAAAAAGAACAAACATTGCTCCTAAATTATCTTCATACAATCATTTCTAAGTATGCAGTAGAGGAAAGAGAAATGCATGTACTGACCCAACATAAAAACTGAGATATTTGTAATAGCAAAAAATCACATTTTTATGGATATATTTTCAAAAGAACTTGCATTGCTCATAGATAATCTCCATGCAATCCTTTTTAAGTTAGAAGAATATGGAAGATAAATGTAATTACTGATCTAATATGAAAATCAAGATATTTACAATAAAAAAAACCAAATTCTCATGAATTTTTTTAATAGCAGAAAATCAAATTCTCATTAATAGATATTCAAAAGATTCAATATTGCTCCTAAATTCATTGCATACAGTCATTTCCAAGTTTGAAGAAAAAGAAAAGGAAATACAATTAATAATATAACAAGAAAACTGACACATTTGCAATTGCAGAAAACCAAATTCTAATTGATATTTTTTAAAAATAACAAATACTGCTTCTAAATTTTTTCCATACAATCTTTTTCAAATTTGAGGTAGAGGAAACAGAAAGGTAATTATTGACCCAACATGAAAACCGAGATATTTGCAATAGTAGAAAATCAAATACTCATGGATATATTTTTAAAAGAGCCCACATTGCCCCTATATAATCTCCGTACCTTTTCTAAGTTAAGAATATGAAAGAAAAATGTCATTACTGATCCAACATGAAAACTGAGATATTTACAATCTAGAAAAAACTAAATGCTCATGAATATTTACAATAACAGAAAACAAAACTCTCATTAATATATATTCACTACTTCTAAAATCACCACATACAATCTATTTCAAGTTTGAATAAAAGGAAAGAAGAATATAATTACTGATATAATATGAGAACTGAGATATTTGCAATTATAGAAAACTAAATTCTCATGGATTTAAATTTAAAAGAACTAGCAATGCTTCTAAATTCTTTGCATGCATTCATTTTCCATGTTTGAAGAGAAGGAGAGAAATACATTTATTGATCTAACATGGAAACTGAGATATTTGCATTAGCAAAAAAATCAAATTCTCGTGAATATTTTCAATAACAGAAATCTAAATTCTCATGAATATCTTTTCAAAAGAATCAATACTACTCTTAAATTCTCTCCAACCCTTTTCAAGTTTGAAGGAGGGGAATGAGAAATGTAAATATTGGTCCAGCATGAAAAACTAAGAGATTTGCAATATCAGATGAACAAACTCTCATGGATATATATTCAAAAGCGACATCATTGCTCCTAAATTATCTACATACAATCATTTCTAAGTTTGAAGAAAAGAAAAGTGAAATGAAATTACTTATCTAATATGAGAACTAAGATATTTACAATAAAAAAAACTAAATTCTCGTAGATATATTTTCAAAAGAACAAATACTGCTCATAAATTCTTTGCATATAATCATTTCCAAGTTTGAAGAAAAGAAAAGATAATGCAAATAATTATCTATTATGAAAACTGAAATAATTGCATTAGCACAAAATCAAATTTTGATGAATATATTTTTAAGAGAGCCAACACCACTTCTAGATATTCTCCACACAATCCTTTCCAAGTTAGAAGAAGAGGAAATGACACTTCAATTACTTATAATAACATGCAAAATGATTTATTTGCACCAACTCAATTTTTTTTTCTTCAAGGCATATTTTGAAAGAGCCACTAGTGCTCTACATTCTCTTTATATATTGTTTTTTTTCCATATTGTAATAGAAAAAAAAAAGAAATGAAATTACCGATCTAACTTGAAAAGTAAGCTTGTTACAATAGCTGAAAACTGAATTCTTATGAATATATTTTCAAAAGAACTAACACTACTCATAAATTCTCTCATACAATCATTTTCATATTTGAAGAGAAGGGGAAATAAAGTAATTATCGATTAAACATGAAAATTAATATATTTGCAATAGCAAAAAACAAATGATCATGAATATATTTTTAAAATAACAAACAATGCTCCTACAATCTTTCCATACAATCTTTTCCAAGTTTAAAGAAGATGAAAGGGAAATGCAATCACAGATCTAATGTGAAAATATGAAAATTGAACCGTGCCACTAGAGCACAAAAATTGTGAAAGCAATAAAGTGCATAAAACACTTAAACTTTTCAACAACAAAACAGTAAAACGAGAAACACATATAAAAAAAATTATCAAAAGAAAATCACAAGAGTAGAGATAAGGGGAGGCATTATACATACATAAAAGAGAAGTAAAGACAACTGAAAGAGAAGGATCAAGATTTTTGCTCTAAAACCACAACAGAAGAGAAGGTGGTTTTGGGAGGGGGGACCGTTTGTGAAGAGAAGGCGAGCTGAGGGTAATGAAACAAAACAGTAAAACGAGAAACACATATAAAAAAATCATCAAAAGAAAATCACAAGAGTAGAGATAAGGAGAGACATTATACATACATAAAAGAGAAGTAAAGACAGCTGAAAGAGAAGGATCAAGATTTTGCTCTAAAACCACAACGGAAGAGAATATGGTTTTGGGAGGGGGGATCGTTTGTGAGAAGAAGGCGAGCCGAGGGTAATGGTTGGGACATGGAGAAGAGATAATGCCATTTCCATGGGGATAGCGAAAAGATTTTGTAATCGAAATAGGGTATACGTCGCAAAATGCATTGCCTCTCTAGCGGTTCTGCTTTCTCCGTTCCGTGAATGATTGACACCCATAAATAAGGAAGAAGCCGAATATCAAACAAGTAAATATGCTTTTTGAAAATGAAAAGCTCCCAAAAAGATGCCCCAAACGAGCTCTAAGACATTAAATTATCTTTCTAGCACACAATAATATCAATTTTGTCATTAGTTGACTTTTTAGTCATAAAAAATGAATAAATCATTATTAAAGAGTAAAAGACATCCAAAGAAGTGGTGTTTCGCTGTTTGATGTATTAGAGCAAATCACCCAAGAAAATTCAAGCTTCTCCTGTTTTCTCCTTCCCATTCAGATTTTGCTTGGGCGGCTGGGTTACCCATCCCGGGTCGCAAAGACAAAGCAGAAGTCGTCACTTGGAGAGGGAGGAGAGAGAGAGAGAGAGAGAGGGTATTGAGATGCAACAGCTTCAGAGTCCGCAGAGATCCGGTGCTGCGGGGGCGACGGCAGCAGTCGCTCCGGTGGTAGCTGGGCCGAGGAGGAGGTGCGAGGGGATGGCCATGGGTGCTATCACCCTTGACCTCCGTCCTGGACTGGGAGTCGGACCATTTACCCTAGGTAATAACCCCACCACTATTTGCTCGTATATTCTCTGTTCATAATCGAGTTCTCCGAATCAAATTAGCTCGCCGGTCTCTTGGAATTCTAAAGCGGTTTTGTTTTACGGCATTGACCTTGCAGTTGTAGTCATAACTCGTTGCTCTGTCGGACGGGATGAATATTTTTTTGCCTGTCCTTTGTATTTGATAGTGTAATGTCGTTGATACTTTAATTGCTAACTCTTGACCTGCGTGATTTCTCTGTTCATAATCGAGTTCTCCGAATCAAATTAGCTCGCCGGTCTCTTGGAATTCTAAAGCGGTTTTGTTTTACGGCATTGACCTTGCCGTTGCAGTCATTTGTACGGGATGAATATTTTTTGCCGGTCCTTTGTATGTGACAGTGTAACGTCGTTGATACTTTAATTGCTAACTCTTGACCCGCGTGATTAAAATTATGCTATGATTAGCAGTTCGAATTTGGAATGGATTTAAGTTGTTGGGACTTTAGTGTCATTGTAATAGTTTTTTAAACTGATTTAAATTAATTACTTTCTTCGACCTTGGTTGCGGATCTTATATTGTGTGCATCTTGTTATCGTATATGTCAATCATGATACAAAGTTTAATTACCTGAAGTCTCTTTTTATATAAATCTCTCGCTTTTGTTTTGATGTTGTGTCGTGCTTTCTGAAGGAATGTCCATTCGTGAAGCATTTGCGCAAATAGAGCACCAGCCTAACATCTATGATGTGGTCCATGTCAAATACTATGATGAGGTTTGCAATTTTTTTCATGATTTTCCTTTCTAGGTTTTTCTTAGAATGCTTTGCAGCTGCCTGATTCTTTATAATGAGGTTGATTTTGACAAAATTTTGGGCCATTTACATACATAACACCCAATTCTTATGTATTTGCATATGTGACACTTATACTTTCATTTTTAAATTTATACCACCCAAATCTTTCAAATGTCATAAAAAATATCATTATCTTAACTTTTGTAGGGTGAAATGCACCTTTTTATGCACAGTTAAGGTGGCATGTTTGTAAAAATTGAACTTTACACGTTAGATATGTGAATACATAAAATGTCAGGGGTATGTACGTAAATCTTCCTTTTTTTTTTTGAGTGTTTAGAACTGAAGTACAAATATTAGTAATGTTGGATTAAGTTTGTGTGCTCCAATTTGAATTGGCAACAGGCAGAAAAAAAACTACCAACTACTTGGCCAAGGCTCTAACTGCTCTTTTTTTTTGAAATTTCTCTGCTATTATCATTATGCTATTCACATCCCTTAAATTATGCTCACTTTCATTAGTTGAAAACTCCGATGACAGAAAATGTGTGAATCCACATTCATGTTTTCCTTTTTTTTTTTTTGGCACTTACGTACATACCACCCAATTCTTTTGTATTTATATTTCTAAAACATAAACTTTATATTTTACATTTATCCAAATCTTTCATTTCACATCAGAAGTACAACCATTTTAACTTACATTCGTTGCGTGTGTGTAAAAATTGATGTTTAGGTGTTAGTATGTAAATATATAAGATTGAGTGGTACATATGTAAATTTTCTTTTTTTTTGGTAGGAAAGGTGCTTATATTGTACCACTTGTCCTGCCTAGCAGGAATCTTAAAGATTATAAGAGTTTTATCTCCCAAACCTGGAAAGACTTGGGATCAATTTATGCTATCCAGGTAACTTGATATTACAGATGGGGAGTAATGGAGTCTAAAAATTTGTAGACTCTTTATTAGTGTAATTCTCTTACAGAAAACTTATGCAGACTCGCCATAATATTTAACAAACTTAGCCAGCAAAGAAGCATAATAGTATTACTTCATTGTTCTTGTTTTGCTACACTTTTTTCATGTTATTTAAACAATCGGAAACTTTGAACTATTTTATGGAGGTCTTTTTTATCTGACAAGTTATGAGAGCCATAGGGTCATTAAGGTCTTCAATATTCCTATATGGTCCTGTCTCATGCATGATTATCGGCAAGGTGGCTTGACTTTTCATTTTCGAGATTAAAAATGAACAGAAAATGGCCCTATGATTGGATGAAGTTTCCTGAAATATTGCATTTTGCATAAACTAATAAAAAAATTACAAACTTATGCAAAAATGAACCCAATCATGTACAAAAAAACCAGTTGGATGCAGTTTCAGTTAGGGTTCTTTTGCAATTTAAGCTCCATAGAGAGCGCTTATCCATGACATGACTAGGGCATTGAAATGATCTATGCTTTCTAAAGTGAACTAGATCATATTGTAATTTCTTGACATAGTTGATGCTGACATTTCCTACTTTCTTAATTTCTAACATAAAAACTATTTATGAGAATAGATTATGTTTGAAGGGAATTTTTTTTAATGAACATTGTAATTTATTACTGAAAGCTTCAACTAATAAAGATGCTTGAAGGTAAATTTTTGAACATAATATAAATTAGATGAGCTAGGATAAATCATCATTTTTTATATTGCTTTTCTAAATACTAATTATCAGTCAAAAAGATGCTAATTTGGGGAAAAATTCAGCTGGTGGGCATGTGATATTAAAAGCAACTGTGACTATTCCTTTCTCAAATTATCTTTTATCTCATTCTTTTGCCCTCCCTTACTTCTCTCTGTCTCTTCCTTGCCTCCGAGGGAAATATTACCTTGAAAATGAGATGTAGTGATATGGCTGGGCAACACTAATCCACATGATTCTAGGGAAACAACATTCATTATTTGATGAAAACAGTAGAGGCCTTTCTATGGCGATGTCAGAAAATCAACTTATGCAATGAGTGGTCGTGGAAAGCAATGGAAAATTGCCCGTAACCCTGATCTCACTTTGTTTTGATTTGTTTTTGTTTTTTTGGGTATAAATCATCCCTTCTCTGTGTTTTTGGGATTGTCTGACGTCTTTTTTGGAGTTTGCTGGATATGCTAGTTTTGGATGAAAGTAATGAAACTACCTGTTGTTAAGTAAATTTTACATTTTCAATTTGCTATCAGCTGAAAGTTATCCACGAACTGAAATGGATTGGTTTCGGCTGACTTTTAATTCTTTTTTTCATGGAAACCATGTCCTGCAGGACCCTTTGAAGTTGGATATTGTTATTAACTTTCCAGATCATGGTTTTCATCTTCGTTTCGATCCTTGGTCACAGGTATCGCTTCTTTAGTTTTTTATTAAGCATTTCACATATTTCATCATCATATCTTCAAAGCATTTACTCAGATGAAATTATGAAACTCTACTGCAAGCATATCTGTGGTTGTGTCTCTCTGTATATTTGCTTCTGAAATTGATGAATTATTTCACTGGTTAGGAATTTTTACATCTGTCATTTTATGGTTGATTTTAATTAGAGCTCATTTGGTTGCTTGAAGCTAGAATTCAAGTTTCAAAAGTTTATGAATTTATTAGATTCCATTACTTGGTTGTTTTAGTTACAAGTTAATATTTTTGTTAAACTATACAAACATTTATAAAATATATCAATTTGATGATTTCTTTTTATAAATATCTAGTGCTGTGTTGTTCGAGGAGGAAAGTAAATCATCAAAACCATGATTTTGGGAGCAAAAATTTTACCTAAGCCCAATAAAGTTCTCAAACATTATTGCAATGTCTTTTATTCAGTTTCAACAAATGCTGCAACCCTTGTTTTCACCACTTATTAAATTTTATATTAATCCACTAGTGATTTCATTTTTGATGTGATGATTAAATGTTTAGTTCTTTTCCACGCAGAGATTGCGGCTAATTGAGATTCATGAAGTTACAAAATTGCAAATGCGTTATGCAACTTCTTTGATTGGGCAAGTGCTATATAAAGTTTGAAACTTCTTTTATTTTTTTAAATGTACAATTTTGATCTCACTTGTTCTTTTTATAGTGGCCCAACCCTTGCAACTTTTGTGGCAGTTTATGCTCTCTTTGGACCAACATTTCCAGGCATTTATGACAAAGATAGAGGGACATATACATTATTTTACCCAGTATGCGAATTATTCTCAATCGATAGAGGGACATATACATTATTTTACCCAGTATGCCTTGTGAATTATTCTCAATTGTGCATGCTATTCAATCTTCCTGTCGTTTTTGGCTCTTCTAATTAGTTTTCTCTCAGGGATTATCATTCGCTTTTCCAATCCCTACTCAGTTTACAAATTGCTGCCATCACGGGGAAGGTTTGCATTTTAATTTCTATAAATGTTTTGCATGTTATTGAGATCTGCTGTGATCACACACTCTCATTGCTCATGATCATGACAGTTTCAGCAGATTTGCCTCTGGAGTTTCCTGATGGAACGACCCCTGTAGCATGCCGAGTGTCAATATATGACAACTCTTCTGATAGTAAAGTTGGAGTGGGCTCCTTGATGAGTAGGGCCCTTGCTCCTCCATTGCCAGCCGGTAGCTTGTACATGGAGGAAGTGCATGCTAAGGTCAGCAGCATCCATCTCCTGTTCTTTTTCAGGCCTCTTCATTTTTGGCTTTTAACTGTGAAGCATGTGTTGATAATGCTGCTTTCTGTGGGCTATTTTGATGCTGTTTTGCATCTTACTGCCTTGTTCCTCTTTTTTTTTTGCTCGTGGGGGTGGGGGGCTGGGGGGATACATCATTCTTTTTTGGGGCATTTACAAACATAGCACACAATTCTTATGGGTTTACATATTTCACACCTTAATCTTCTTATTTACACACATAGTGCTCAATTATTTAATGTCACATAAAAAATAGCACTATTACCACTTCTTAAAAGTAAACCACACCTTATCAAGCATAAGCTTAAAGCACCAAAGTTTTTGTGTATGTAAATATGGAAGTTGAGGTGTGAGATATGTAAATACATAAGAATTTTGTGCTAGGCATGTAAATTTCCCTTGTTTTTTATGCAACTTACAGATTAGGTTCCTTATATTTTGACGCTGGCAGGTGACATCAAATTTACAATCTGGGTAGGATTTAGGTTCATAATACCCTTCTCGATAACTACATCTTGGTCCTTCAAATTGGACACTTCTACCCTCTCATTGAAGCACCATAAATATTCCTTGAAGTTTACTTGATTGCCAACATTAATCCTCCTCCCTTTCGCTGCAATACACATCTTTCCTTTTGCCTTATTGAACTCAGCTTTGGTTAGTGGTGCAGGAAGATCATGGGCCGAATTGATGATCCTTAATGCCTTATGTTTGTCTAATGCTTTATGTTTCATTTGTTATAGTTTTCATTTCATTGAAATATTGGAGTCTTTCTTTCTAAATAGAAAAGGGTGCGGTGTAATAGAAAATATTTATGATTAAAATGAAGGTGGCCCTCCCCTTTCACGTGCTCTCTCCTTTGTCTCCTTTACGCCATCTTACTTCTATTTCTCTTAATTGTCTTGTTGCTGATTTTCCTCCAATAATTTTCCTCCTCTTTTCTTTCCTCTACTGTTCCTCCCTCATCTAGGCCTCCCTTTCCCCTTCATTCTTGACTAACCAGAATTCTGTGTTCTTATAACTGCCACTCATCCCAAGATATATTCTCTCACAATTTCCAACATGATTCCATCATCTCACGACAGCCATATTCCAAGACCTTCTGACAGCAAAGGCACTTCAAGCTCACACCTCATCACCACATTGCAACCTGCTACCTTTACTCCATCTCTTTACAGGCACTAAGCACTAAGGAACATCCATGGTAATCTCCATGGAATTTTCATGGCAATCTACATGGAGGGTAGATGAGTTCAGGCAAATTGTCAGCATCAAAATATCTTTATCTATATTCGCTAGGCCTACATTGGAGTGAACATGGTGTGATGGGAGGCTTTGCTTTTGTCAAATGAAAGGCGTTTTGATTAGATTAGCTGTTCTTTTTTCATTCATAAAAAAAGTCTATTTAATATCTTAAAAAATGTGGGATGAACTTTAGGGTTTTTTGTGAACGAGGGGCATCTCAATAGCATGTGTAGAAATAATGGTTTCCTAGGAAAACTTTTCATGTTTTTAACTTTAGAGACATTTAGACAAATGTTGCCATGTGAACATCTCAGTATACCAGCTTGGCCTACAAGGGAGTGAACAAGGTGTGGTAGGAGGTTTTTTCTTTGTCAAATAGTGTACATTTTGATCAGATTGGTCAACTTGTTTCATTTATAAAAAGGTTTTTTTCTATATCGTAAAAAATATATAATGAATTTTAGGAATTTTCATGAATGAGGGATGTCTCAGCAACCTATGCAAACTTTCATTATTTTTTAATTTAGAGACATTTACTCAAATGTGATCATCTAAACATCTCAGTCCACATCAACTAAGTCTATATGAGAGTGAACTTGGTGTGATGGGAGGTATCAACTTTGTTAAATGGGGGCATTTTGATCAGATTGGTTGATTTTTTGTCATTATAAAAAGGGCTAGTTCTATATCTTAAAAAAATGTGGGGGATGAATTTTAGGGATTTTTTTGAATGAAGGTTATCTTAGAAACATGTGTAGAAATGTGAAGCCTTTATGTCCTTTATTTTGTTTTTATTTCAAAGATATTGACAAAAAAATGTTGTTATCTAAACATTTCAGTTTGTATTAGCTAGGCCTACAAGAGAGTGAATATTGTGTGATGGGAGGTCTCAACTTTTTCAAAATGGAGGGCTTTTTGATTAGATTGGCTTATTTTTTTATTCATAAAAGGGCTATGTATTTATTTTAAAAAATGTGTGATGAACTTTGAGGATTTTCTTGAGTGAGGGACATCTTAGAAACATGTGTAATATTGTGTATAAATGAGTGGTCCCTATTCAAACTTTTTTTTTTTTAAAAAATTTGGAGATATTTACACAATGTCCATCTAAATATGTCAGTAAACCAACTAGGCCTAGGAGGGAGCGAACATGGTGTGATGGTTGGCCTCACCTTGGTCAAATGGAGGCATTTTGATTAACTTAGTTGGTTTTGGTCATTAATAAAAAGGGCTATTTTTATATCCTAAAAATGTTCGATGAACTTTAGAGACTTTTTTTTAATGAGGGTTTCTTAGCAACATGTGCAGGGATAAGGCCCCATTCAATTTCTAACCATGACCCTATTATCTTCTTTTTTAAGTCATATAGCTTGATCAACATCGTATATCTACTATCACCAACGTTATCTATTATATTTAAGTTGTAACCTTTACTCACTACTTTCTTTGCAAGATTTCTAGCATTTTGATAATTTTGATAAAGCCTTAATAGCACTTAATTTTTTTTTAATTATTTTAGAATCTTGTTTCTTTTCTTTGATAAACCATCATAACTTCACAGTCTACAACCAAATCTTTTTATTAGTATATAATCTATTTATAGACCTTTTTATAACCAACAACTAGATGGAATTGTAAATCTTATTTCATATTAGATTTGGCTCAATTAAAGAATTTCAATTTTCTCTTTTAATAACTTATCTTTAAAGACTAACATTTTTGACATTTCAAATTCCATCAAGTTATCTTTGGGGCTATTCTCCCTTATGATTTTTTTTTCTTATGCTATTAAGACATAAATTTATTGCTATTGCCCTATGTTATCTTTTTGAATTTCATCAAATTATCCTAAGTTCAAAATTTCTTTTGATTATTTTTGTACTATTCATATATAAATTCATAACTATTACCATTTATTGTGTGATTAAGCTTTTTTTTGAACTCACTTTAGAATCCTTATATAAATATTTTTCTTTTTCACTGTGATTTATTGACTACATTTGTCTAAGTGACCAAGTATTCTTCTCAATTTTTTAAAATATGTTTGCTATTGCGATATTATATGTTACCGCAAAATCAAATATAGCTTCCCCTATTTGTATTTCTATCTTCTACTCCATAATCATCATGAATTCTATTATAGCTCATCCTATTAAAACCTATAGACCATTTCTTTAGTAGTTATATGATAGTTCATCTGTTTCTTCTTAAAATTGAGCATTTAAACTATCTTCAAATCCAAGTTGAGGAGCATACGCACTGATCACATTCATAATTTTCTCACCATAATTATTTTAATAGCAATAACCTTGTCACTACACCTATTAACTGCAATGATTTTATCTTCCAACTTTTTTTAAATATCTAACCTCATGGCCCATTCCTACTGTGAATCTTTTCAACATACAATAACCTTTTTTAAACAATTATACAAAAACTTAGAACCTTGCCCATTATCCTTGGATTTTTTCTACTTTCCATTTGATTTATTGTAAATAAACAATATTTATCTTATCATAGTCTACCCTTTATTGTCTTTCCATTAAAAATTCCTAATTTTTATATGATTAATCTAATTTTAGAATAAGAGTTTGTCAGTCCAGGCTTATTTTTCATCACAATTAAGTTAATTTGTGGTGTACCTCGTAAGTATTGTCTTTGCTCACTCTTAGATTTTGTTACAATTAGATTAGGTTGTTTTGTGTTACTCGGGTATCTTTCCCATTGCTCTCTTCTTATTACACTTAGGTTTAGTCATGGTGAGTCACTTTCAGAGAAAACCTTAGCATTAGCAAAATTCAAATTTAGATGTCATTAGTTTTAACATGAGTTTAATAATTAGTTATCAAGCTAATAATAACTCTCTTTTTTATTTGAGCTAGAGAGTGGCAGCCATCTGTGATAAAAACAATCACATCACATAAAAAAAAAAATGACAACAACAACCACTAATAATAATAATACTAATAATAATCTTTAAATAAAATTTGATGGATACCATAAAAGTATTCATCAATGAATGATGGGATTGCAAATGTTTAGTCATATAAAGGGACTCCCAAGATAACTCAGGTGGTGCAAATGGTCTGTAAACTTATCATATTTACAAGCTAGTGAGTAGTGATTTCTTGAATCTGAGGAACTTCACTTATAAACTAATAGACAAACCAAAGTTCAAGCGGAGGATAGGGGTGGTTTGTTATTGCGAGTCATGAAAATACTTCAAATTACGTAAATTTTATTAATATTATCTTAAAAGAACAAAACGTTTGATATAAATGTAAATTCATTTTTAATATTTGTTATCATGATTAATTGTTTTAGTATCATTGAGTTTTGTGTTATATCAATATCAATGTGTTCTATATAACACTAGCTAATCATTGTATTTATTAAAGGTTGTTCCTAGTTTGTTTCAAAATGACAAATTGTAGAGATGATTTAGGTTTATGACTATTACTTGGATCTAAATCCTAATTTGGTCCCTCGACTATTCATATGTGGTCAATTTAGCTCTAGAGTTTTTTAGTGCTCCAATTTTGTCTCTCGACTATCAAAAATTGATCCCAATTCGTCCCTAAGGAACTAAATTGTGATCAAGTTTGTATAATTGGGGGATTAAATTGGGATCATTTTTGTATCATGATATCCACATGAGGGACCGTTTTGGATTAATATTGAATAATTAGGGGACTAAATAGGAGTATTGCATAACTCTATGACTAAATTAGCCACTTCCGAAATCATTTTGGGATTCAATATGTGCTACTTGAGTGACTGAATATGTGTATGTAATTGGACTTTTTAGACATATGAATTTTATTCATCCTTTTGATATTGGTGGGTAAGAAAGATTTTTACAACTCGGATTGTTATGGAAATACAATATTTACGTCATCAGTCTAGCTTCAAGCTAAATTATGTCTCTATATTTGGTTTCAACTTTTTCCTTTAGTAACTTATTCTTTGAAGAGCGTGTTAACTAACAATTATAATTTGCATGGAAGCATTTTTTTTTTATCTGCCTTGGTTGTCTATCTCATTGCTATATCCTGGTTTTGTTTTTGTCAGCTTGGAGAAGAACTTTGGTTCACGATTGGAAACCAGCATATTCCTTTTGGTGCCTCACCCCAGGTATTAATTATCATATTTGATTGACAATTAAATATTCCCTCATTATGTATTCATCAAGTGCTAACCATTCAGGCGGTTGACTGAACAAAGAAAGTCAGGAACCTTGCTTGAAGTTCAACTTAGAACAAACGCCATTATTCTGAATTATGTTACAAATTTAGGGCCTTAAGCCTTTTAGAACTTCTTTACACGTTTATATTGCCATAGGTTACAAACAACTGCCTTTTATCTTTGTGTTAGAATTTTCTTAACACTTCTATGCCTTGTAACGTATACATGATCAATAGCTGGAATTCGAGATACATTTGCTCTTTTTTTTTTTCAATCAATTCATTCTTCTTTTGAAACAATTTTTACATTCTGGTAAATGTATAATACATTATGACCCTTCGTTTGATTCTTTTTGTTTTTATTTGAAGGATGTATGGACAGAGTTAGGACGTCCTTGTGGCATCCATCAGAAGCAGGTGGGCCTGCCTTCAAAAGTTGAATTCTTTCCAAATATCTAGCGCTGAGATAAAGCCTATAAAAATAATCTTTTTTAGTTTGAATTTCATCCAGCTCTAATTTGTTTGTTGAATGTGAAAATGAATACCTGCATTCATCTTAATGTTTTAGGTTGACCAAATGGTTATCCACTCTGCTTCAGACCCACACCCTCGCACAACTCTTTGTGGAGATTACTTCTACAATTATTTCTCACGTGGTCTAGACATATTGTTTGATGGACAGGTATATTCCATTTTAATGGTTAATATGCTTATTTTTAATTATTTACTGAGGCTATTTTATTTTACTTGAATATCTAGACTCATAGAATCAAGAAGTTCGTTCTACATACAAATTATCCCGGTCATTCAGATTTTAACGCCTACACCAAATGCAATTTTGTTATTTATGATGCTGAAAGTGAGTATTAAAAGCACAAAAATTCTTGGCATTGATGTTTTTGCCTGTAAATCCATGCTTTATACCATTTTTGCAGTTGAAGGAACTATTCCATTAGGAGGTTCCACAAAGCGTTGCATAACACCTAGGACCAAATGGGAACAAGTAAAGGTAACATTTTTTTCAGTATTTTATCATAATTCATTCTTCAATTGCTTTACAAGTAGATAGCATGTTGGTCCCTGGTTGATGAGGTATTTATTGTCATGGCACACGTATAGCTTGATGTTTTCTATTCAGTTTGAAGGTGTATTGACTATACATTGCAGTAATTAGAAAAACAAATTGATGCACATTTGTAAAATTTTTAATTTAACGAGAATATTTATCATTGTGCATTGATTTCAATTTCACTTGGTTTTCACCAGGATTTACTTGTGGGGAAATCTTCAAACGTAGCACACGATTCTTATGTATTTATATATCTCACGCCTAAACTTTCATATTTACATACATAGCACTTTGGTGTTTTAAAAAATTGCAGGTTTAAAAAGTGATAATAGTGTTGTTTTTGATGTGATAATAAATATTTGACTGATATGTGGTGTATATAAGTTTAAATGTGAGATGTAAATACATAGGAATTATGTGCTATGTATGTCAGTCCTCTTGTATTGACTATAATTTAAGAACAAAAAAATTCTAACAACACACGAGGCTCCTAAAAATATCTAATAACAAGGAGCGTAGTTGACATTGACAAATTGTTGGAATAGAACCCAGGATATGGAATAAAATAACATGATATTAGTGATCGAAGGAGGGGTTATTAAATCCAATTACAATAGACACAACAAAGAAAATAAATAAAACAAAATAAAACAAATAAGAAAGAAATGCCAACTTGGATTATGTCAGTCATGCTCAACTTGGATTTGAAGCCATCGAACAAATGATGAGAAAGATTCTTGGTAAGGATATCTGCTAATTGACCATTGAACGACACAAAAGGAACACAAATTTCTCCGGATTCAATCTTTTCCTTAATGAAGTGTTTGTCAATCTCCATATATTTGGTACGATCATGTTGGACTGGATTGTGAGCAAAGCTGATGGAGGCCTTATTATTACAAAATAGCTGCAACGGGACAAATGTTAGCATACAAGATTCGCAGAGCATGATGCGTAACTGGAAAGCTTCACAAATCTTCAAAGACATAGATCAAAATTCAGCTTCAACAATGCTTTGGGCAACCACGGACAATTTTTTATTTTTTTACGTGGCAAGATTGCCCCATACAAATGAGCAATACCCCGAGGTGGAATGTCGATCATAAACTGACTTGACCCAATTAATATATGTATGAACAAAATAGATCGATGTGTGACGAAAGAAAAAAAAAAAAACTAACCTAAGCCCAATGTACCTTTTAAATAGTGGTAGATCCGTTGGACAACTTAGAGATGGTGCTCATAGAGGTCATGCATGAATTGACTCATACCAACTGTGTGACATATGTCGGGGCGAGTATGGGCGAGGTAGATGAGTTTCCTCACAAGACGCTGGTAATGAGCCTTGTTGAAAAACACAATATTGAGAATGTCAAATAATTTTTCATTCAGATCCATATGTACAATCACTGGTTTGCATAGAAGAGTGTTGTTCTCTGTCAAGAGATCAACCACATGCTCTAAGACAGAAAAATGCCTTGAGATGATTGAGTCACTTCTATGCCTAAAAAGTACCGGAGAGATCCCAAGTCCTTCGTTTCAAAGGACTTAGCAAAAATGTTTTTCAAGGACTCCAATGCTGGGAGATCGTTATCTGCAAGAACAATATTGTCAGCATAGACAATAAGGATAGCCATCTGGCCATTGGAGGAATGCTGGAAGAAGAGAGCATGACCCGACCCGATTGAGCCTAAGTAAAACCATGGCCCAGGACTACCTTTGTGAACTTGCCGAACCAGACTCTTGGAGATTGCTTTAGCCCATAGAGGGACTTTTGCATCATACAGTTGCCCTCTGGAGGCAGTAGAGTCAAAGCCAGGAGGGATAGACATGTACACCTCTTCTATATGCTCTCCATTCAAGAACGCATTCTTGACATCTAGCTGGAATAAAAGTCAATCCTGATTCCCCGCAAGGGTCAACATGACTCGAATAGTGTTTAACTTAGCTACTGGAGCAAACCTCTCCTCATTGTCAACTTTGTAGGTCTATGAGTTCCCTTTGACGACCAATTGTGCCTTGTTACGTTCAAAGAATCTATTAGAGTTGAACTTGGTGCTGAAAATCCATCGACACCTTATTACTTTCTTACCCCAAGGAAGCTCAACGACGTCCCACACATAGTTCCGCCGAAGGGCATTTATTTCTTCCATTACTGTCGTTTTCCAGGTTGGCTCAGCAAGAGCAACCTCAATATTAGCTGAGATCCGATGGTTCGTCAGGTTAGTAGCAAATGCTTTGTAGTTCGGCGATAAACTGCGAAAAAAGACATCTTTTGTCATTGAATTGAGAGAGCATGTTTGATTGCATACATTTCTCGGAGAACTTACCTCATTCAGAGGAGGGTTATGCTGAGTTTGTTGCCCCGAGTGGAGTCATGGCCTTGTAAGGAGGTAGTGGGCTCAAGGACAGGAGCATTGAGACGGGTGCACCGAGTGTAGACATAGACAATAAGAGGAGTAGATAGTGCACTCAATGGAATATGGGACTCCTTAGTGACCGGGATAATGTGGGAAACATCCATAGGAGTAAGATAAGTGTGTCTAAGAACTTAAGCTCCTCCTCACTTGAGGCCGAGCTAAGAAAATAGGGAACACTTTCAAAGAAGGAGACATCAACACTCTTATAGATTGTGTTTATAGTAGAATCAAAGCACCAATATCCCGTTTGAGTGGCGGAGTATCTCAGGAAGATGTATTTTATGGATCTGGGATTACCTTTACTTCGAGTGGGGGTAGTGTTCCGAACAATAACAATGCACCCAAAAATCTTGGGATTTAATGTGGAGAAGTCTCGATTGACGGAGAAGAATGATATTAGAATTACAAAGGGGGTTCAGAACTTGTGAATTTTAGAGGGAACTATTTATGAGATAGGCGACATTCAGAATGGTTTTGTTCTAAAACTATTTCGGTACATTAGATTGAAACATAATTGAGCGAGCAACGTCGAGGAGGTGACAATTTTTTTTTTCTCGACTACCCCATTTTGTTGAGGAGAGTCCTTTCACGAGCTATGGTAGATGATGCTCTTACTCATTAAGAATTCACCCAAAATAAACTTGAAAAATTCATGGTTATAGTAGGACTAAAGGACCTTAATTGGAGTTTCAAATTGAGTTAAAATGAATGTGTAGAAGTTTTGGAAGGTTATAACAATCTCCAGTTTTGTCTTTTAAATGTAGACCCACTTCATCTGAGTGTGGTCATCAATCAGCGTCAGGAACCACCGTTTATTGGTGTAGCTGGAAGTGCGAGAGGGTTCCCATATGTCACTGTGAATGAGAGAGAAATGACAAGGTGTGTGAAGTGTACGATTTGTAATAGAACTAATGATGCTTGGTTAACTGACATGTCTCTCAATCAAAATTAAAAAGATTTTTATTAGAAAACATCAAAGGATACAAATTTTTTATATATTGGAAACTAGGATGACTCAAATGATAATGCAACAACATGATGAAACATTTATTGACTCGAGCTAAACTACAACTCTTGAGTGGTGTGTTCTCACTCTCCGTGTTCTTCTTTTGAAAGTAGTAGAGTCCAGCTACTCTATTGGCAGTTCTAATCATCCTCCCCGAGCGACGATCCTAAAGAACACAATCATCAGAAGAGAAATTAGTCACACAATCAATATCATTTGCCAACTTGTTGATAAATAACAAGTTACATTGCAACAATGTAACATGTAAAACAAACACTACAGTTAGGCTGATTGTTAGTACAACCGACCCTTTTTCAACAAAGAAATTACAAGAGCCATCATTAATTCTGACAGTACTTTCCCAGAGCACGGATATTAAGTCGAGATAGCTTGCGATTATCTTGTTATTGTAATATGTGGTACCTGAATCAATAATCTATAAACCAGAGGAGGAAAGAATCGTGAGAGCCATATGAAGAGTACCTTATCGAACATGTGAGGTCGACAGACCTACAGAGAATTGATTAAATCCAAGTAGCTTGATCAATTGCTCCATTTGGTTTTCAGGGATTCAGAAGATTCTGAGATGTTCCGGGTACTAATCGGCTGAACCGTGGTAGGTTCGGACGTCACAGTGAGACCCTTGGTAGTAGAGAATTAAGCTGAAGGTTTGTATGCTGATTACCATGAAGTTTCGAACAGTTGTCCCTAGTGTGGATGAGTGTGCAGTAATCACAAGTGAGATGACAGGTCCGAGGTTGCATGAACGAGGACTAAGCACCATTCGAGATCAAGGCAGACGATTCGACTGAAGGAGTAGAAGTGTCGAGCATGACAAGTCTCTGACTCTTCCCGACGAATCTCGGTGAAAATAGCGCGAGCAAAAGGAAAAGGGTTCCGACCAAGAATATGGCTCTGGACTTCGTCAAGTTCTTTGTTAAGGCCAGTTAGGAATTGGAACATGTGGTCCTTTTCTACAATCTTCTGGAAGAGAGAAAGGTCGGTCGGAGAATCCCAAGTGTAGTCGTAGTACATGTCACATTCAATCTATAATGCAACAAGGTCATCATTGTACTGGGTCACGGTCTTTGGCCTCTGTTTTGCCTCCCGAATTTTTTTAGACACCTCATATAGTTGGCTGGAGTTTCCTACATCGGAGTAGGTATCACGGATTGCCGTTTATAGGGCACTAGCTGAAGGGAGAAACATATATGAATGACCAATCAAAGTCTCTATGGAGTTGATTAGCTACGATATGCCACGAAGTTCTCCACTTCCCAAACTCCATACGTCAAGTTTGTCTTTGGAGGCTCACGAATCATACCTGTGAGGTGACCGAATTTCCCGCGTCATTTGATGAACAAATGCATCACTTGGGACCATTAAAGAAAGGTACTGTTGTTCAGGTTATGGTTTTTTATTAAGAAATTCATGTTGGTTTCCGGTCCTTTGGTCTGCAGAGTTGGAGTAGATCCTCCGGTGGAATCAAGAACACCTTCTGAAGGTGTCTCAGT